TGGGGCTTTTTGTGAGTTAGGTTTCATGATTTTTGGGATTGCATCTTGCGATTTAGGGTTCGCGATTTGAGATTTCGCGATGCTCTCAAACTATTTTGGGTTCTTTTTTTTTTTATTTTACAGGTTTGATGNTATCTTAATTTTATATTTATCTTTTATCTTTAGTTAGTTTGTTATTATTTCTTATTTATATTTTGGGCTTAGCCCATGTTTCTTTTATTATAAATAGAGGGCCTTACGTGTATATTCAACACAAGAGTGATTAATCTCACATATAGTGTTTTACTATATTCAACATGGTATTAGAGTCAGATTCTTTTGAGAAAAAAAGTTTGTCACCTTTACGCTATACCCGTCACTGCCGGCAATGACACCATTACCGTTTCTCTATTCAAATGTTTTCCATTTACTTATATCATTATAACCTAGCATGTAATAATCTTAAAACTCTTGCATACCATCTTTATAAACTAGCTTACGCTAATTTGTGAAAAGATTTTGAAAACATTGTTTACCCCCACCTCTCTAGTGTTCTCCTTACAACTTCAATATGTTAATCTCAAAACACATCCACAACTTTCACTATCAAATCATATATGCTTCACTCGATCGAATTCCTGAGCAATGAGTCTCAAAGCATATTTTTATACACGTTCAACCAATCTTTTATATTTGCTAGCTATAAAAGCATCACTCATAAGATTTAGACTTTTTTCAAAGGACACTTTTATCTCGTTATGTTGTAGGATGATGACATTATGAATTGCATCCCAAAACGAATAAAGGTCTCCCATACTACTCCTCAATACTTACTTCATGCTCTAGTAAGTAAACTCAACCTTGATACACATGACATGAACAATATCATAAAACTCATGCTCGCCCAATGAGGTCCCCCTTAGCGCTCAAGGAGAGTGCAAACAAAGTGCTTACCCAATCCAATGAGAACTCTCGGCCAACCACTGAATACACTACCACTTTTGCTCTTAACTCGTCCAGCGAGCCTAGACTCACCTAATGCCCAAAACTCAATGTAAGCACATCACTTAGCGCCAAAAAGGAGTGCTCAACACCCTGGAGCATAGGGGCTCTCTGTTTTGGCAGCGTTGAGCACCATACAAGGTTGTTTAACGCCATACTAGATGACAACAACTTGTTGTTCTGATCTAGATGAACCTTTAATCTATCCAAATGACCAAATTGACTTCTTTGATACTAGTATTAATGCAAAAACATGTTTATTGATGAAATTGAGTACATCTTTGATCATTTAGTAAAAAACAAGATACATTAGATCAACCCAATCACTCAAAAACGCCTATAATCAATTATACAAATTATAAACAAGAAATTTGCAACCTAATGGTCTAAACAAGTCACATTTGACCCAAAAGCAGGCTCTAAACCTTCATTTTATCACATACCTTCCCCCTTTAGATTCTCACTTGTTAAAACCCCTAAAATGAACCAAACCACATAAAACTTAACGTACAATTCTACCTCTTTACCACTTGCCAAATCAGCATCAGATTATTGGTTAACTAAGGTTCTAGACAAGTTTAAAATTACTTAAAAAAAATTCCCAAACATTAGTTACAAAGTTGTTCCTCTAGAAATTTACCTACCAAAATCCCAATTTAGACTAAAAGCATCCGCTACAACACTTCCTTTTTACTACCTGCAATCCTACACCAATTTTGTACCTAATTAAACTCTAACACAACATCCTCAAATGTTCAAACCAGTACCAATTCTCATACACACAATCTACATCAAGATATAATCCCACTCAACAATCATCTCAATTATAACATATTCAACCAAACATGATTTTTCACAACATCTCAAACATAAACTCATAAATCTTAACACGAAATTAAGGACAATATTATCTTTTCTTACTTGGTGGAAAGCTTAAATAGTTCTACAAGTCCAAAATATCTTTCTCAACTCAAATCGTTATAGATGTACCTAAAAATCACAAAATTATGATCATGGTAGGTCTTTAAGACCATTGATCAACAAAGAACTAGGAAAAGAGGTTGGATGTCACATGCGCCAAACCTACTTGCATGNCCAAATTAAACAAAAATTATAAAAATTAAAATCACTTTAAACAAAAAAAAAACATTTTGAACAAACAAAAAATAAGTACCATCGATATTAAACCTTTATTTATTTTTTTGCTAGAAAAACGTTGAAGACATACCTTATATTACTATAAGGTAGTATATTGATTAGCTTATGATGATGATGAAAGACTTACTAAAGATGTCAAAGACTTAACACTATGTTCGTTTGAGGGGATGACACTGTTTCAGTGGATTTGTGAAGATGAATGTGTTAGGATTTAGGTGTTCACTTGAGCTAATTGCAGAGCGAGTAAAGGTGCTGATTTGAGAGATGAGTTGGATTTTGCAATCCTTTGAAGTTGCGCGGATTTGTGTGGATTGAAAACGAAATTCCAAAATAATCCTTGGAAGCTGGAACTGATTTCATCAAAGTTTTATTCAATTCATAAAGCACATAATGCATGGATTGGATTCTTGTTATTGAATATGGATTCTTGTGTATTCGATACTTTGTGACTTTCATTGACAACCACTCTAGGAAGGTATAGACATACTTTCTTAAAAATAAGTCTGAAGTATTTGAAGCTTTCAAAATTTGGAAAGCCATGGTAGAAAATGAGACAAGATTAAAGATAAAAAAAATCTTAGATCGGATAATGGTTGTGAATATTAAGACACCATATTTAAGAAGTTTTGCTATGAGCATGGGATTAGAATGAAGAGGATTGTGCCAAGTACACCTCAACACAATAATGTGGCAGAGCGTATGAATCGAATGTTGACAGAGAGAGCCAGAAGCTTACGTTTGCAGTCAGGCTTACAAAAGCAATTCTAGGCAGAAGCAGTCAACACAACAACTTACTTAATCAACTTACTTATTGTTAGTGAAGGATTATAGCTTGAGCAACTAGATGTGAAGACTACATTTCTTCATGGAGACTTAGATGAGGAAATTTACATGCATCAACCTGAAGGCTTCTTAGAAGAAAGAAAAAAGAACATGGTGTGTAGATTAAAAAAATGTTTGTATGGTTTGAAACAAGCTCCAAGACAGTGGTATAAAAAGTTTGAAAGTATCAGGCACAAGGAAGGTTTCCAGAAGTGTAATGTCGACCACTACTGTTTCTTCAATAGATATAAGACCAGTTATATCATTTTGCTACTTTATGTTGATGATATGTCAATAGCTGGTTTAGATATGGACGAGATTAGAAGTTTGAAGCAATAATTATCGAAATAATTTAACATGAAGGATTTGGGTCCAGTAAAAAAAAACCTTGGAATGCAAATCACAAGAGATAAGCAAAAATGTATTTTGCGGTTATCTCAGGCAGAGTACATTTATCATGTTTTGTAGAGATTCAACATGAGAGACGCCAAAGTAGTTATCACACCTTTGGCCAGTCATTTTCGTCTATCCAAAGAACAGTGCCCTCAGACAGAGAAGGAAAAGGAGTCCATGGCTAAAATTCCATATGCTTCAGCTATTGGAAGTTTAATGTATGCAATGGTTTGTACAAGGCTAGACATTGGTCATCCAGTGGGAGTTGTTAGTATGTTTATGCCAAATCCAAGTAAAGCTCATTGAGAAGTTGTTAAATGGATTTTGAGATATCTACGAGGTACTACAGAGAAGTGTTTGTACTTTAGCAAACGAGAGTTAAAAGTACAAGGTTACTTAAGCAGACTTTGGAGGTGAAGTAGATCACCGAAGAAGTACTACTGGTTACATTTTCATTGTTAGTACTATAGCTATTAGTTGTATGTTACAAATGCAAAATTTGTTGCTTTATCCACTACCAAAGTTGAGTATGTAGCGGTAACAAACACTAGTGCAGTCAAGGGAAACAGTGACGGTTATTTTCGCTTATAGACACCGGTTTCGCAACCAAGACATATATAGACGAGGTAAAAAAGGGTAGGCTTTTTGCCTCGGTTCTAAACCAAGTCAAAAGGGTTTAGATTCTGCCTCGGTTCATAGACAACCGAGGCAATAGAGGTTTTTAATTTTTTTTAATCTCAATCAATATTACTGGTTGGTTCCTCGTTTTGTTATGTTTTTTTATGCTCTCTTGCTTTCTCTTTCCCTTCTCTTTGTGCCTTAAACTTCTCTATCTTTTTTAATCTCAAACTTATCCTGCAATTTTTTTTCATCCATGTTTTTACACAAGTGGGGGCAAAATTACCTTTTGACAAACTCAGATGATTCACTAGTACAATAAGGGGAAACGACAGGTTATTTTCGCCTATAGACAGCGGTTTTTGAACCGAGTCATATACAGGTGAGACAAAAAGTAAACAACTTTATGCCTCGGTTGGAAACCGGGACAAAAAAGTAAAGGATTTTGCCTCGGTTTAAAAGAAACCGATGCAGTAGATTTTTTATTTTTTTATTTTTTTTCAACAGATGCCTCGGTTCCTCTGAACCGAGGTAGTATGTCTTTTTTTATTTTAAGTTCCATTGCCAACAGGATTGAGAGGCCTGTATGGTTTAAAGAATACATTTTAGTTTTAGTTCCTACTTCGACACAAATTTTTCCGATAGTGGAAATAGTCTCCACAAGATATAATCCCCGCAAAGTGTCTGCCCTTAGAACTATTACATCACTACCTACACCGTAAAATGGAAAAACAAACAAAGTAAGATATAACCATTAATAAACAACATGAAGGTGGAAGAAATATTAACAAATAATCAGAAAAAAGTAGTGAATCTAATGGACTAGATAATTTACAGAGGATGATACCATCAGCTTCTCGCAATATCTCGTCCAAATGAGTCAATCTTGGCTTTACAATTTACGAACAAAAGATGCAGTTCAAAAGCACACACCAATAATCGACTTTATGAAACTTCATCTTCTTCTAATCTTGCTGAACGGTTTGCATTAAAATGGATTGAATTGAAGATGAATTGAAGAAATACCGATGGTAATTCTGGTACTGCTAGTGACCCACGCACATCATACTCTTGAGCATGGTCAGATCCATCAACAGAGGCTGGCCAGGAGAATGAAGGGTCAAAGAGGGGATTGGAAAAGGAAGGACTTTGCGGCAAGAAGTCAGATCCATCAACAGAGGCTTCTAACCAGCACCCATCTAAGAAAAGCTCCATCTAAGAAGCAGTCCAGAAAACGCACCAGAAGATGCTCCAGATTGGTAGGAAGCAGCGAGAGCGGCGGGGAAGTGCCAATGGAAGCAGTGGACATGTTGTCGAAAGGAAAGAGAGTGGGAAATTTGAGAAAGGAATGGGAGAGAAGCCATGTTCATGATAAAGCCAACCAGATCCGACTCAATAGAACCCAACCAGATCCAACTCAAAAGGAAGGGTAGGCAAAGGGCGGTGGGCGGTGGTGGTACGACAGCAAGGGTAGTGGAGGCGCGGCGAGAAATGAGTGAATGAGTGGTGGTGGAGGCGCAACAAAGGAGGGGAGCAGTGGTGGAGAACGCGACAGAGGCAAGGGGAGCGCCGCACGGAGGCGCGACGAGCAACGGTGGGGGAGGCGCGACGAGCCACGGCCGGGGAGGCGCGACGAGCAGCGGCAAGCACCGGTGGGGAGGAGCGTCAAGCAGTGGCAGCAATGGTGGAGATGCAGAGGAAGAAGAAAGTTGGACGGCTTTTGGATGTTGCGGAGATAAAAGAAGAACGAAGAGTGCTTAGGGTTAATGAAACAATACTGCTCCATTATTCACCTGACCCGATGCTAAACATGAATTATACGCCTCGGTGCACACACAACCAAAGCATAAAAGCTTCGTTCAAATTTACAAAGACCCTACTGCCTCGGGTCCAAGGGGAACCGATGCCAATATACACTTTATGCCTCGGTTTTTCTTGAACCGAGGTCTATAAGGTTGCTGAAATTGCAAAAATGCCACCGCGTTTTTATTTGTTTCGGTTTTCATAAAATCGATGTCTATATGGCGTGTTAAAAACCAGTTTTTTTACTAGTGATTGCTCCAATCTAAGAATGGGGAAATAGGAAGCGTAGAGAGCAGACGGAGGAGATGAGAATGAAGGTGGAAGAGAGGAGAAGGGGGCTCTATTCCCTGACGAAGCGAGCAATTAGAAGCCTCAGAGAAACACTATCCAAACCAAGAACCAAAAACACAACATCATTTCGCCATCCACTTGCAGAGAAACAGAACAAAAAACCAAAAACCAAAAACGCAGATCCAGCGCCTAACCGCCACCACGCCGCCGCGTCCTCGTCGCTCCATGAGAAAAGAGTTTCCGCCATCCCAGCCGCCATCGCAGCACCGTCGCTGCTCTCTCACTACACCATCGTGGGCTCTCTCGCCGCACCGTTGCGGGCTCTCTCTGCCATTGCACATCGAGAAAAAGGAGAAGAGGAGAGGTGCTAGGTTTTTGGGGGAAAAGTTTCCTCTTTCGCTACTAGAGGCTAAGTTTTCCTGGATTTTAGAAAGGCTTATATGCCTCGGTTCATCTATCAACCGAGGCAGTATCTGTGCCACGTGAGGTTTATGCCTCGATTCACCCTGCCAACCGAGGCAGTATTCTCTTTGGACACCGATTGCTTAACAAATGAGGCATCTAGTGTTTTCCAAATTACGAGACTGCCATCACATTTTGATACGCTTCGGTTGCAGAAAAACTAAAGTGTAATGTGCGAGTTAAAAATGTAATTTTTTACTAGTGAAAAGCCAATAAAGAATTAATATGGCTTTAGGGATTGTTAACAGAGTTGGGATTCATCTAAGAGATGAGTGTTTTGCATAATGATAGTCATAGTGCAATACATCTAGCAAAGAATTCATCATTTTACTCTAGGACAAAACATATTGATGTTCATTATCACTTCATTAGATTTGTTCTTGAAGATAGGGTGCTAACATTAAGAAAGATTCTCAGAAGTAACAATCCAGCAGACATGTTAACAAAAGTGGTAACCATTGACAAAACGAAATTGTGCTCAGCTTCAGTTGGCTTGCTATAATAATAGACTATAGAAGAATGATGCAATGATCAAGGTGTGAAGACAAATTGAAATCAGTCCTCAAGTGGGAGATTGTTAAAATTGGTCAACTCAACAAAGAGAATTGCATCCTTCGTTGAGAGAAAAATAAGGATGCTTACTTCTTGGTTTTAGAAAGTGGAAAATCAATAATAGTTTAGAAAGCTTATAGAAAGGAAAACAAAGTGAATGGAGAATATTGCTTACGTACACTTATAAATACATGTTACTTATTTCTTTGTAAATCGTTCCAACAAGTAGAGAAGAAACATAGGCAAGAATAAGTTAAGAGAGAGAAAAGTGAATTTGTCTTTTAATTTTTCTTTATCAATAATATATTTGCAGTATAATTTCAAGAGTTCTATTTTGAGTGTTATTATTCTACATTTGTATTTTCTCTCACAAATCTGATTGAGAGAAATTATGCGTAATTTCCTAACAATATCGTGGTGTACCCTTGTCTTTGAAAAAGATAAATTTTCAATGTGGTAGAACTGACAAAGAGGAAGGTCTACGTCGTGCACAGGAGAGAGGAAAAAAGTTATAGACTTTTTTGTCATGTTAGCACAAAGTTAACGTGCGTCGTGCAGAGGAGAGAGGAAAAAAAGTTGCAAGCTTTTTTGTCATGTTAGCACAAAGTTAACCTCATTTTTGTATATTTAACAAAAGGGACTTGATGAAGACAAATTATACCAAGTGTGGACGAAATTGAAAATTTTTTAAAAGGTTGGACCAAACTGTCGAGATTAATTATGATATGTGGATATTTTTTCAATAGACGTAGGCTTTTATAGTGAAAAGGCTTAATAAATCTTATTGGATCGTGTTTTAGTATGTCTATTGAGTCAAATAAAAATAATTACAATATTTAATAAATAAATAAATATGATACTTAGATAAGTGTTAAACAATTAAAATTGTTCTTATTAGGCATACAAATATCTAGGGTATGAAGAACGAGTTTACCCAATAAAATATCTAAATTATAAAAGTATTTTTAGTGTATAATTATAATTAAAACCTTATATTTAGGACTTAAATTGTATATAAAGAATAACTCTTATTAATGCAGGTTAATGTGGTATTTAGATAATCTTAAATAAAATTTAAGTCTTAAAAATGAACAAATTATTTTTAATTTTAATGTAATAATCAAATTAATTTTTTATTTATAAAATACAAATAAAACTTATAAAAATGTGTTTTATAAAACTTTATCTAACTAAAACTTGCAAGAAAATCTTAAATCCTTAACAAAAAAAAATTAAGATACTTGTTTAATAAAATACCCTTGGAATGATTCCTTAACGTTTACTGTTTAAAACTCTATCGTATTTGAGACTAAAAACTAGAGTAAGCACCATTACTTAAATTTTTATGAAAAAAATGAAAACAATGTTTTGCATAATATAACAGTGAATTATTTAAATTTATTGTTGTCATTATCGAATACCACCTTCTATGGATAATAACAAAACACAATATTATAAAAGTAAACAAATTACGTGTGAATTTCAAGTTTTATTGTTTTCCATTTGAAGAAATATATTCCTTGATACGAACAAAGCTAACACAATGAGGAAAGGTTATTTTCTCATCAAATTATGGCCAAATATTTCCAAAAGTTACAATTATGGAATAAAGCAAAAGGTGAAACTTTTTCATAAGGATTAAAGATAATTATTATAAAGGAAATTGAATTGTGAAAAGGAGTGCCATCCATATAGATATATAGTGAACTCTTTGCACTCTATTTAGCTTAGTTAAAGGTTGTGTGTTCGGGGTGAAAAAAGTATCTATCTCTTAGATAAATTTCATTACGGATAATAAGTGGATACAAAAGATGTATCCATTAAAATATATAATTAATAATTTAATATTCGCTTATCAACGAAACATATATAGATATCATATTATTCATACTGACAGTATATCCACACCAATAAAAATTAAAATTAAAATTTAATTTATAATTTATTGAATTAAATTTAATTAAAACTAAATTTATATTTAATTTAATTTATATTATATTTTATAATTTTTTTAATTTTATTTTAAAAATATTTAAATTTTTCTTTTAATATATGTGAATATTCATTATACTTCTTGTAATATTCCGAAAATACAGTCTAAAACTATAAAATAGAATAATCACATTAAATAATATTACAGATTAGTCTTACATTAAAGTAGAACGTACGGTGGTGATCGAACGGCCTTACAGAAAAACTAGAAAATTAAAACCGAACAACATAAGCAAATCCCGACCGAACGGTTACAAAATACTATACTGAACGGTCCTACCAAAAGAAAAGGGGAAAAGATGATCAAACGATCATCTTAAAACTAAGCAATTCTGATCGAACGGTTTACAAAAGCCCATACCGAACGGTCATACAAAAGCAAAGAGAAAAGGTGATCGAGCAATCACCTTACTATCAGACTATACTACTGACCGAACGATTCTACTGTTCAGTCTTAACTTCTACCTCAACTAAGTTTTCTTCTTCCAGCGCCTCTTCTAGCAGCTCGTCTCCTTCTACTCACATCCACATGGATGATCATTGCAACAAAAGGACAACCGAACGTACAAAACAGACAAGACATGAAACATAGGGTAAGCTTATGTAATTTAATTCATGTATCAACATATATTTCACACAATTCAACCACACAAGATAATTCATTAACTCATTCATGCAAAGCCTAATACTAGACTGACTGTCCGGACTGTATGAATTCTGTGTAGTTACGACGTTCGTGCACCCGGGTGATGTAGTAATTGGGATGCCCTCAACAACTGTCACCCGAGGTTAGTCCTATCTGTCCAAATTAACCATAAGGACTAGGACCTCCTGCCGTTCCCACACATGACTTACCCTCCCTTACGTGAGGACGAGTAATCACGAAACATCAGGATGAACCGCCAGCTTAGCATGCCCACATTCATACTTTACAAATTCCAATATACATTCATGAGTTATTCCTCCCCGGAACGCTCGTCCATTATCCAAAACATTTCATCCATATCATATTCTATTCATCTTTCATTATTAATCATCTCAATTAAACCCTTCGTACAAAGATCACTAAGGATACCAAATACCGAACGTTCAACCCTCACTTAGAACGAGACCGAACACTTGGAGCAAGACCGAGAGGTCTTCAGTTCCAGAACAGATTAAGACCGAGAGGGTTACTATCGGGTTGAGAAAGAAACCGAGTACAATTAGATATCACAAGAACGAATAGAACGAATGTTATTTACAAAGTGAGCCAATTAAATGAACTGACCCTTGAGAGCTCAAACCGAACACCAAAAAGACCATGCCAAGTACTAAGACTCTAGGCCGAAACCAATAGATACAGACACTTGAAGACATTCAAAGAATAATACTTAGAAGAATTCACATGAAGAAACCGAACGCTTATAAATACTTAGCTTATTTGAGTTTAACATCAAGAAAACCGAATGTCAGTCAATGACCGAGCACAGTAGAGAGAGAACTCTATTGAATTTGAACGAACGCTATTTTCATCAAGATAGATTATAGAAAAGAGAATGAGCGCTTGGTGTAAGACCCAACACTAAATAGTACGAGCGCTTAGTGAAAGACCTAGCTCTAAATCGTACGAGCGCTTGGTGAAAGACCTAACATTAAATAATACGAGCGCTTGGTGAAAGACCTAGCACAGAATAGTACGAGCGCTTGGTGAATATAAGATATCATTTGACTAATGTTCAAGAACGAACAGACATACTACTACACAGATATACTTAAATTTATATTAAGATACCAAGGAAAGGATATCCTTGGTGGAACGCCTGTACACAAATTGTACTAGACGAAGACGCTCGTCCTCAACATAAATTCCTTCCAAATGAAAGAATCCAGTTCTAAACTACTTCCCGAGAAAAACCGAACGGTCAAAGACCATTCAGTAACGAACGTACATTATCATAGGGAATTTCATACTTAGAAATCATTTATCTCAATTCAATTTCTCAACATTTATCTACATAATTTCATACATCCACATCATAGTAAATTCACATACTTCATACATCAAAACATAGCACAATCATATTTCATTTTAATTCAGCAACTCAACGAACGTTCATGCAATACAAGCAACATACAAATTAAATTATATAAGCTTCCCTTACCTTTGAGCGTGATCGAATGTTCACAGAGGCAGAATACTGTTCACACCACTACAAGTTCTTCTACCCTCAACGCTCGACAATCAAAACTACACCAAGTGAAAACCCAACACTATCAGAACCACTCATTATGAGAAGGGTGATCAACACATGAAACCAGAACTTGGTTTGCATGTCCAGGAAAACGCACGACTGAGTGAAGAGAAAAACTTACCAGCTCAGCT